AGTTGTCCCAAAGCAGAGTGTTTGGATGTCAGTCAAATTAGGTATGATGGTTCCTACATGGTACCAGTCACACAGAGACATATGGCAGAACACACAAACTCATTAGCACAGACTCGATCAAATGTTGGTACAGCCACAAATGTAGAAGTAGAGACTTGATCACAAACACATAGTTATAGATATAGACAAATCACAGACAATGATAGAAGCAGAGCCACAGACCCAGAAACACAGAGCTGTAGATCAATATTTACTGAAGTTTCTCCCAATGTAAGGCAAAAAGTTAAGCGTCAGATGAAGCAGGATGTCCTGACTTCAGTCATTCCTATAAGATGCCCACCATGGTGGGCCCAGAGAGGTGACATACATGTGGTGGCTTCTTGACAATCAGCATCTCCAGCAGGACCCCACCCTGTTCCTTCTAGGTGCTGTTATTCAAGGATCAGAGACTCCTGCTTCTTTTCTTGGGCACTTTAGATCCAGGGATTAACACAGTTGTGCCAGTTGCCATACTTCTGGGATGTGTTGTAAGAATCAGAGAAATAGACGGGCAGCTGTGGACTTGATTAGCTGGTGAGCTGGGGAGACACCAGAGGTAGGATGGGGTCTTGGGGACCTCACAGCTCTGGACACCCATGAGGACACTAACATCACCCACTTGTGGCCATGAAAACACAAGCAAGCCCTTCATGATGCACTGTGCAAAGTTTATTATTAATGACACAGTATGCTTTGTCATGACTTTGGACACAGTTAGACATATATTGTCATCATGAACTGAGGCCTATGCTTGCTCTAGGATGAATGAAGCCCATTCACCAGTCCTTGACATCTGCACAAACTTTACATCTTCTTAAAGCAGTTACCTAGGCCGTGCTCTCATCTGAGGCTCAAGATTTTTTTTTTATCGAGAATGACATTCAAATATTGCACATATTTTACGTATTTCCTATTTTTGCTACTCTTAATAAACCAACAGAATCTTCATGGATGTTAAACATCAGTTTTATATAAATACGGCCCTGTCTAATTTTCTTTTCATTTCTTTTCTTTTCTTTTTTTCTTTTTTTTTTTTTTTTTTGAGACCAAGTCTTGCTCTGTCAACCATGCTGGAGGTCAATGGCACAATCTTGGCTCACTGCAACCTCCGCCTCCCAAATTCAACTGACTGTCCTGTCTCAGCCCCCTGAGTAGCTGGGATTACAGGTGTGCATCACTATGCCTGGCTAATTTTTGTATTTTTAGTAGAGACAGGGTTTCACCATGTTGGTCGGGATGGTCTCGAACTGCTGATCTCGTGATTTGCCCGTCTCAGCCTCCCAAAGTGCTGGGACTACATGTGTGAGCTGCCTTGCCCAGCCAACCTGCCCTAATTTTCATAGTCTTCTCTTTGCCTGTTCCACCCTAGCTTTCTGTATGCTCTTTCTTTGTTTCACATTGGGGTTGATTTGGGTGGTTGGCTTTTTTGTTTGTTTGTTACGTCATTCTTGCTTTTTATTCTCACTGTCTTATATAGAATCCGGTTTTCTTTGCCTTTATATTGTGTCCTTTTCACTTCCTAAAAACCAAAGTGTCTTTTACTTAGTCTCTTTCCCTGAGATTTTAATAGTCTTCTATGATCAGTACAGTGTATATAAAATAGAATACATTCAATATGTTACTCTATATTTTTCTGCATAGCTTGTCTGAAATATTCTCTCTGCTATCTAGATAAATTGTAGCAGTTCTTATGCAACCTCTCCTAACCTTCTTCATTGATTAGAGAGGGAGAAGATTTACTTGAGAGGTTTGTTGCAAATATTAGAGCTGACTCATGCCAAGTGCCTAGCACATTGGCCAGCATATGCTTACTATATCATTATTATAGTAGCTTGGGGTAGTGATGGTGAGGGCAATGTAGATAGTGGTTGGAACACGGTCTTCACAACTGCTTTATTGGTCATGGCCTAAGAGTATCTCCTACTAACAAACCCAAATGTAACCTGGTCCCTGCTATGGAACATTTAGGATGGTTTTCATTTTTGCCCCTTGTAAATCACGTCTCACTAAATGTCATCCTTCATACAGGTTCATTCTTCTTTTGAATTTAGCATTTGGATGTGTTCCTAGGAGTAAAATTACAGAGTGAAGGGATATATACATCCATAAAGCTCTCAATAAATAAACATTGCCTGATTGCTTTTCACAAGGGCGCTATGAATTTATACTCCCACCAAAACCAAGAGAATGGCTATTTATAGATGCTTTCAGAGCCTTAGTTTATCTTGTTTCCTGTTTGAATTTTATTACATGAATATTGCTTTAAAACTATCACACACACACGCGCACACACACACACACACACACACACACACACTTTTATGGGGCCTTGGGGCCAAAGACGGAATGAAACTATCATTTATTACATGATTTTGATAGAAACGTGTTGTCATGTTTGAGATGTTTACTTCTCATGATGCAGAAGACAATTTTAATTAGTATGTGGCATTAAATAAGATCAGTTTGCACATTGAAAATGATACTCTTTTTCAGTTTTCTTTCAGTCCTTTGATTGGATAATGGAGGAAGTCTTAGCTGGTGCTAACACCCCTTTAACATCGCTCTAGCCCCTTTTAACCTGTAAAATTAGGAGCTTTCTATAGATAACAGGTTCTACCAAAAATCTAATAGTGTCATTAGGTTTCCAGCGTGTTTATTTTTATGTCTTCCTTCCTTCTATGCAAAGTGATACTGATGTTTTATTTAAAATAATGGAAAGTTTTCACTTTGAACACACTTATTTAATTAAAACAGTGAGTTACATATAGAGCAAACACCCTGACAGTGTCACTCCAATGACTGAACTTGGGACATGTGACTGGGAAAGTGCATTCCAACAGTTGCCCCACTAATTGCAATTGTAACACACGCCCCTTGACAAAACACTGAATAAAAGTCTCCATACTGCCTGACATAGTTTGGGACTTTGTGATCATCCCTTTATTTCTATTCATTTGTGAATGTAAGGACTTTGCAGTGGGCCATGAAAAGAGTTGAAAAGAGTTGCTTTTTATTTTTCATTTTTTAATTTTTTTGAAGACTCACAAAGTTTAAGTTTAAAAAAAATGCCTATCTATTACCCTAGAGAAAAATTATCTACTCTCAGAAGAGTATCTTAAAAAAACAATATCGAAGGAGTTTAGGTGCAGGTTTCTTGCATGCACACATTTTGTAGTGTGGAAGTTTGGCTGTTTAGTGAACTCATCATCCGAAGAGTGGACATTGTACCCAACAGGTGATTTTTCAGCCCTTACCCTCCTCCCACCCTCCCACTTTCTGGAGTCCCCAGTGTCTCTTATTCCACTCTGGATGTTCACATGTACCCATTGTTGAGCTCCCACTCAAAAATGAAAATATGCTGCATTTTTCTGTTTGAGTTTCTCACTTTGGGTAATGTCTTCCGGATTCATCCATGTTACTGCAAACGACATGATTTTATTCTTTTTTATGTTTGAGTGGTATTCCATGGCGTATATGTGTGTATATGTGTATGTGTGTGTGTGTGTGTGTGTATACCCATGTGTGTGTGTGTGTGTGTGTATATATATCCCACATTTTGTTTATCCTGTCTTCTGCTGATGAGCACTTAGGTTGATTCCATGTCTTTGCTATTGTGAATAGTGCTATGATCAGCACACAAGTGCAGGTATTGTTTTGATATAATGATTCCTTTTCCTTTGGGGATATACCCAGTAGTGGGATGCTGGGTTGAATGGTAGTTCTATTTTTTGTTCTTTGAGAAATCTTCGTACTGTTTTTCATAGAAGTTGTACTAATTTACAATCCCACCAACAGTATATAAACATTCTCTTTTCTCTGCAATGCCACCAATATTTGTTGTTTTTTAGACTTTTTAATCATAGCCATTCTAACTGGTATAAAATGATATCTCATTGTGGTTTTAATTTGCATTTCTCTGGTGATTAGTGATATTAAACATTTTTCATATGTTGGCTGCTTATATGTGTCCTTTTGAAGAATGTCTGTTTATGTCATTTGCCCACTTTTAAATGGGGTTATTTTTGTTGTTTGAATTCTTTGTAAATTCTGGATAATAGCCCTTTGTTGGATGCATACTTTGCAAAGATTTTTTTCCCCATTCTCTAGGTTATCTGTTTACTCTGTTGATTGCTTCTTTTGCTGTGCAGAAGCTTTTTAGTTTAATTAAGTCCAAATTGTCTGTTTTCGGTTCTGTCATGTTTGCTTTTGAGGACTGGGTGATAAATTCTTTGCCGAGGCCAATGTCCAGAAGAGTTTTTCCTAGGGTTTCTTCTAGGATTTTTATAGTTTCAGGTCTTGTGTTTAGGTCTTTAATCCATCTTTAGTTAAATTTTGTATATGGTAAAAGCTATGGGTCCAGTTTCACTCTTAGGCATATGATTATCCAATTTTCCATATCAGTGTTTAGCCCAACACCACTTAGTGAATAGAGTGTCATTTCCCTGTCATATATTTTTGTGTACTTTGTTGAAGATCAGCTGGTTGTAGGTACATGGTTTTATTTCTGGATTCTCTGGATTGAAGTCAGGCAATGTGATGCCTCTAGCTTAGTTCTTTTTGCTTAGAGTTGGTTATAAAACCAATTCTTTATTGGCTATAATTTCAATAAAATTTTACATCTAATCTGGGTTCCTGACCAGGTGAGTAATCCACTAGCTTGGCAGATTAAGAATGGTAATATGCAAGCAATGAAGGCTGCATAACTCAAGAAGACTGTCATTGTGAATAGAATGATTCAGAAGTTGGGTTCAAATAGCGTAATGATAGTTATAGTGAATCACAATGTCAGATTTGGTATTATTCTAATAATGTACTTGGTAATGCTAATAGGGTTTGATGGACTACAGTGAACACTTTCCAAACAGCTGTATGCTTTCCCAACAAAGGAACTCTATCTCAGAGCAGACTGATAAATCATTTCAATGAGAGATTTTAATCAATCCTTTTGTTTTCTGTTTTAGGATATATTTAAATTTGCAAGAACTTCTCCTGTCCCAAGACAAAAGCGGTCCATTGTGGTATCTCCCATTTTAATTCCAGAGAATCAGAGACAGCCTTTCCCAAGAGATGTTGGCAAGGTAAGTCAGACAAACAACAAATGACAAAAAAAAAATGTTTTTATGAAAAACCCATACAGGAAGCAGACTGACCATGAGTATCTTGGTGACCAGCTGGAATTAGTCTTCCTTCCTCTATGATAAGAGATCAAATGTTTTTGTCATGTAAAGAATTTTGGAAGATCATTCACACACAAAAAAAGAAATCAATAACAGGTTTGAATATCATGGAGATGAACATGGTAGATGATGTTGAAGTTATGCAGGAAGAAGTCATTGGTTAAGAAATAGGACTCATTGCTTTTGTAGATTATATTCAAGTGATCACCAGATAGGGCCCTCTAGAATGGCAGTATATTGACATGTGGCCTTCCTTGAGATCCTATTTTTCAAATATTTAGGTCCTAGCATACCACTGGGTCAATTTTCCAAAAACTAAACCAGATCAAGGGAATGAAATCATCTTAACCAGATCCAGAACCACATGTGATAGACGCTGTTCCATGAATCGGAACAATAGCTTTTCCAGGAAGAAATAGCTATTATGTGGGCCAAAATACTATATTGCCTCATCAGTACATTCTTCCCATTTTAAGAGTTAACATGGAGAATCAAATTTTTGAGCGGTTTGTACTTTTTGGTGAACACTGAATTTGAACAATGGTGGTTAGTTAAATGAATGATCTTAATGGTGGTTGCTATTGAACTGCTAATTCATCAAATATGCAGTATGTATTATATGCTGGACTACAAGCTTGGGGCTGGGTGTGAAGAAGCTAACATCCTAGTAGGAAGACAAAAACAGGAAAATTACAGAGCATGACAAATGCTGTGAAGATCAGAAACAGATTGACGTGAAAAAAAAAAAGAGCAAATGGCAGAATGAAGGAGTAGAAGGAAGAGGGAATCTTCACACAGATGACTGTGATGGCTGGTTGGAGTTACTGACATTTGAGGGGAGACTGGAAAGATGAGAAAGGAATAGCCGTAGGAATATCTGGGTGAACACCATCTTTGGCAGAGGTGAGTTTACATGCAAAGGCCTAAAGATGGGAAAGAATGGAGTGTAGTAGAGTTACAACATGCCTGGGTGGCTGCAAGAGGGCGACAAGGATGAGAGGGGTAAGGAAGAAGTCGGAGAGGCCAGCCTGTCCTTGGATGAGGAGTTGGGATTTCATCATGTATGCAGCAGGGGGCCACTGGAAGATTTCCCCAAGAGAGTACATGTTTTGGAAGGTTCTCCTGGCTGCCTTGTAGAGAGTAATTAGTGGTAGCAGAGTGATAGACAGCAGTGGAAGCAAAGAGACCCACTGAGAGGGGAGTTTGGCGGTGATCTGGACAAAACTTGGACTATTAAAAATCGATCTTGGCTGGGTGTGGTGGTTCACGCCTATAATCCCAGCGCTTTGGGTGGCCAAGGTAGGTAGATCACCCAAGGTCAGGAGTTTGAGACCAGCCTGGCCAACATGGGGAAACACCATCTCAACTAAAAATGCAAAATCATGGTGGTGTGCTTGTAATCCCAGTCACATCTGGCTGAAGTTAATTCAGAATTAACTAATCCCAGTTAATTCTTGGCTGAGGCCAGAGAATTGCTTGAACCTGGGAGGTAGAGGTTGCAGTGAGCCAAGATCATACCACCGTACTCCAGCCTGGGTGACAGAACGAGACTCCCTGTCAAACAAACAAACAAACAAAAAATCCATCTTTGTTGCAAATTGAAAGAATTGATAATCCAATATCCTAGTAATCACTGTATTTATCATTTTAAACTACTACTGTACCAAAGATGCCTTTCTCTAAGCGAAAGTCTTCTCAAGCTTCCGGGATATGATAGAAAGGGAAGCGGAGCTGCTCTAAAGGGATTGCCCTGTCCCCTTGGGCGGCCCTAGCTGCTGTGATGTACCTTTTCTAGACAGGTTTCCCAGGAGCGCAAGATGCCAGATGCCAAGGGACCTAAGTCCCCACTTCTTCAAAACTCTGCCCAGTTTCTGAGACTCAAGATGGATTCTTGTTTTTTAGTTTTCCCTTAGATAATCCTGGGTTTCTCACCTCTCACCATGCATAGAAACATCAGAGACACTTAAAATGCAGATGTCAGGACTCCACCCTCAGATACTGATTCCACTGGGAAGCAGGTGAGGACCATGTGTCAGTATGTGTTAAAATGTCCCCAGTGTGCAGCCAGGGTTGGAGGGCAGCTGGTCTTAAACAGTCCTCCAAACGTGGATGTGGACCAGCTATATTAGCATCCCCTGGGAGCTTGCAAGAAATGCGTATTTTCATGTCCCACCCCAAAACCACAGAGCCAGAAACTCTGGGGTTAAACCCAGGTATCTGTGTTTTCACACAGCTTCTAGTTGATTCTGATGCACCCTGAGGTTTACAGAGGGCTGACCTGAAATGTGTTTTCTTCCCACCACTAGTACACAGTACTTTCAGTGTTAGAGTTGCAGTTCCATTAATTAGGTTATAATAAGGACAAACACATCTTAGTTGCCTGGAAAATCCCAGTTTACACCTGCTGTCCAAACCTGTTGTATCCATATTTAGACAATAAATTATGTAGCCATCCTATAGTTTTCTTCAATTACACAGTTTCCTCCTGGGTATATTTGGGTGGGTTTTCACAAGCCTGTTTCCTTGAGCTAGTCAGTAGGTCAATAAACATTCAGCTAATTGGGAACATTCTTCTGCATTGTTTTCTTACTTATTACAGCCTCAAAAGGCAATTTTATTTCCAAGCTGAGGATTCACCTCTTCTTAGCCCCTTATGTATTGCCCACACTGGTTTTCAACCTAGATTCTCTACAAAGCAACTGCTTTTCTACGTGCGGTAGGCTACTAACTAGACAATGTACAACAGCCTTCAAAACCTCTGGTTTTATTTTTTTTGGTAGAATTGTTGCACTGCTTTGCAAAAACTATTTATTTGTCCATGCTTTTTATGCCTTTGATGGTACATATTTTCCTTTTTATTCCTGCTTATTTCTGTTTATTTATCTTTTTATATCTCCTGTCCAATCCTCATCAACTCCACCATAGCTGACAAGCTGTGCTCTGCAGAGCTGAGGAAGAAGATGTGGGTGTGTTCAGTGAGTGCTGGGGAGGGGATGAGAAAAGAAAGAAGACCATAGAGGCAGGACTCTGCTCTCCAAACACCACCGTGCTCCCAAAAAAGATCTTTAAGTCAGGAACCTCTAATTTTATAAATATACACATTAGACTTCAATATAGAATGCCATTTGAAGAAGAGATTCTGCAGCTCTAAAAGCATAACGACATTTGTCTTACTTTGGCTTCCCCTAGAAGTAGATCCCAAGACAAGAATTCAAATGAAGAGAGTTCATTTAAGAGGTGGAGGAAATATAATAAAGTAAGGGAGAGGCACAGAGAAGGGAAGGCAGCTGGGAGAGAAGCTTGTTTACGAAGTCAGCTACCCCTGTGGATTACTGGGTTGTAATCTCATGGGCTAACTTTAAACATGGTGTCGAACACACTGTCAGCATTATACCACCCCCAAGGGGTAGTGCTGGAATACTTTGACACCTACTGGGGTATTTCTACTCCCAGCAGTCATTGGTTGAAGGCTGTTTTTAGGGGTGTCAATTCTCTAGCTTATCAGGTCTGCCCTGTACTCTGTCCACTGATTCGACAGCCTGCTGAGGTTTGGAGGAGAGCCTTACACAAAAGCTTTGCTGTACAGCAGCCTCCAGTCTGTGGTCTGCACCGAAAATGTGACATGTAGCGGGTGTGGACAGGACACTGATAGCTTCTGCTTCATCACCAAAACGAATACACATATATTTTTATATAACTTTATCTCATCTTCTGCTTTTACCTCATTTCCTGAACTAGCTTTCTCGTGTCCTGGGCTTTTGAAATCCACTGTACTTGCCTCTTTCTCTCCATTAAGAAGAAGTAGTTCTTGCATCTCGGGAGGGAAAATCTCTGGAATTGAACCCAATTCATATCAACAGGCATATATTCAGCATCTGTTATTTATAAGGAACTGTGCTAGGGGCTGGGAATTTAATGGAGGAGAAAACAGACAGAATCATGGATCTCATGAGATTACAATAGAGGTGACAATATCGGCACATAGTCATTATTTGTCCAGCACTGTGCTAAGCACTTTTCATCTGTTATGTTGAATTATTATGATAACAACCACATGAGGACCATTTTCCAGCATGCCAGTGAAGGTAATGAGACTCAGGGGTGACGTAACCTGTCCAAAGCCACACAGCTAGTTAATAGCAGAGTCAAGCTTTGTTTCAGCTTTTTGAGATTTCACGGTCTATGCTCTTAACCCATATCCTTGGGAAGTACTAAGGCCTATCTGAGGATACTCTTCTGTGGAATGAAATATCTTCGCTGACAATGTCTCTTTCTAAAACAGCATTTAAAGTAAGTACAATTCTTGGAAATGTACCAAAAAATAAGATGGCCAGAGGACTGGATCAATGGATAGAGATCTGATACATGATAAAAGAAGTATATTAAAATGTTAGTGGTAGAATATAGTTGGTGAACATATGGGTGCTTACTGTACAATTCTTTCCGCTTTTCTCTGTATTTGGGAATTTTGCAATAAAATGTTGGGAAATATTAAGTTAACTAAATATAAAATTATCATAAAAGACACAGGAGTTAGCATGCTAGCACAAAACCACTTTTTAAATCATTTGTCTTGCATTTCAAGAGGGTGAATGGGGACCAAGTAAGTACCTGATTCTTGATTTTTTTGGTCATATTTTATTACAACCTGAATTCCTTTAAAGAAAGGAGACTCATATCCTAAAGAATAAAGACATCAAAAGTTAAGGTGCTGTGGTGAGTCGGCCCTCAGTGGAGAGTTTTTCACAGTTGGGTATCCTGTTGTATAGAACCGAATACCCACAGCAGGTTTAGGCAGGCAGCTCCAGGCATGAGAAGAAGTCTTGACTGACACATAATTTATCTATCTGCCAAGTAATTAATTAGTTGGTAAGTAGCTAAACTACTAGCATTTGGGGGCT